TGGCCTGATCCAACATTGGCTTCTCTTATGCCCTTATTTCTGGGGCAAGGGATGCTCTGTATTCCTGGTGCTTGGGGGTGGGGAGCAACAGTGGGAGGGCTTCTAGTGTCCTGGCCCCACTGCTGGACCTCCTGAGGGCACCTGGTATTTCTGGCCACCGTGTGACACAGAGGGTTGGACTGGATGCGCCATCGGCCTGATCCAACATTGGCTTCTCTTATGCTCTCTTATGTTCTTAACTCTGTCACCAGTGCCGATCCTGATCCAGGGCGGGTAGGTGAGAGCTATCACCCCACGGAGAGTGACTGTGAATGTCAGCAGCGGGTCTTGTGTCTCAACTCAGACAAGATGGGTCTTGAACTGCACACGTTAAATGGCCAGCCTGCAAACGGGCCGAACTGACAGCTGCCTGGACATGTGCCTTTTCCCACGGTGGCCTTATGGAACGGCCTGCCCGAGGAAATCCTGGCTTTCCGCAAGTCACGCAAAACCAAACTATTCAAGAGGGCATTTTTACGCAGGCGATAGGGCAGCACTGCAACAAAAATGGCTCTGATACTTTGGGAAAGGGACGGGGGACGGGGACCAGACTGCTGTGTGCGGCCTGCACTGTCCGCTGCTGTCAAGTAGGACCTCCTTACGTGATTTCTGCATTGCGCGTGTGTTTTATTTTATCGACGTTCCTTATAGTCCCCCTCTCCCACTGGGACTCGAGGCAGGGCACCCGGTCTGCTTCTGCCGATGTGTACGTTTTCCTCCAGCTCTGCTCAGATTCCCGCAATCCCAGATCATAAGGACACTGCAGCCTTCAAGTACTTGAAGGGCTGTCATGTGGAAGACGGAGCAGATCTATTCTCTCTTGCTCCAGATTGCGAGACCAGATCTAACGGGTGGAAATCACATGGGAGTCGATACCGGCTAAATATCAGCAGAAACTTCCTAACTGTAAGGGTGGTTGAGGAGTGGAACAGTCTGCCTCGGGAGGTGGTGGATGCTCCTCCGCTGGACGTTTTCAAGCAGAGGCTGGACGGCCATCTTTCGGGGATGTTATAGGACTCTCTTTCGGCTATGTTCCTGCAGAGTGCAGGGGGTGGGACTAGATGACCTGCAAGGTCCCTTCCAACTCTAACATTCTATAATTCTATAGGAGAAGCTCTATGATTCTATAGGAGAAGCCGTGTTGGATCAGGCCAATGGCCCATCCCGTCCAACACTCTGTGTCATCCTGGCCTGTTTATTGTATGACTGTGTGGACTTATACTGCATAATCCGCCTCGAGTTTTGGTGAGAAAGTCAGGCGACAGATGACATAAATTAAATAAACACATAACCATCTGTTGATACAGCCCACTAGCTCCTCTGGATGCTGGCGAGAGATTTTTCTTTTCCGAAACGATCCCTTACAGCAGGGGTCCCCAACCTTTCGCGGCGCCCGCCAAGTGCTTTCAGAAAGCAGGCGGGGCTCACGCCCAGCAGGGCTTCTGATTGGCTGTGCAGATTGAAAGTGACCCTGTTAAAACAAAGCCACCCCCTGAAATATTACTATTAAGAGAGATTCAGGTGGGTGGAGCCGTGTTGGTCTAAAGCAACGGAACAGAATCTGAGTTTACTCAGGCACCTTTAAGGACAACAAAGTTTTATTCTTGGTGTAAGCTTTTGTGTCCGTATGGTCCGTATGGTCAAAGCCATGGTATTCCCAATAGTCATGTATGGCTGCGAGAATTGGACTATAACGAAGGCCAAGCGCCAAAGAATAGATTCTTTTGAATTATAGTGCTGGAGAAGACTCTTGAGAGCCCCTTGGACTGCAAGAAGATCAAATCAGTCAATCCTCGAAGAAATCAACCCTGACCGTTCCCTGTACGGCCAGATAATGAAGCTGAAGCTCAAATACTCTGGTCACCAAATGAGAAGGGAGCACTCGCTGGAGAAGACCCTGATGCTGGGAAAGATCGAAGGTCAAAGAAGACGGGGACGGCAAAGGATGAGAGGGTTAGACAGTGTCATAGATGCAACGAACACGAAGTTGAGCAAACTCCGGAACACGACGGAAGACAGGAGGGCCTGACGTGATGTGGTCCGTGGGGTGGTGCAGAGTCGGACTCGACTGTGCGACTGAACAACAACAAAGCTTTTGTGTGCACGCACGCTTCCCCAGACACGAAAGCTTATACACCCAGAATTAAAATTTGTCGGCCTTAAAAGGTGCCACTGGGCTCAAACTTTGTCCTGTTACTATGAAGAGCTATATATAAACTCGCCTCTGACATTTTGTCACTGTCTGCCTACTGCGGCAGCCGTTTTGCGATTGTGCCCATCGTCCTGTCTCAAGGATTCCGAAGGTG